ACCTGAGCTTTTTTTCCCCATTTACAGACAAGACATAACCGAAGAGGACCTCAGAGTACTGTTCTCAAACTCCGGTGGCACTGTGAAAGCCTTCAAGTTTTTCCAGTAAGATTCTTATCTTAATTTTATCGATTTTCAGGTCCCTTAACTTGCTTATATGTGGGGGAAGTTTCCTTTTAAAAGCTTATTGACTTGTATGAGTTTTAGCTCAACATCTATTTTGTTTTTACAATGTAACCAGATGCCTTATAAATTATTTTTAAAAGTACTTTGTTTTCACTTAGTTAAAAAGCTATTTTAACCATGCAAATCCTTATTTAAGTGTTAAATTTATATTTTGCACATTAGATGGGTTAATTAAAGTTTATTTTATGATAAAATATACTACCAAAACATTTGTCCAGTTTAGCATTATTTTGCTGCATTTACCATTAACGAAAACGTTAATTACCATTAATGAATTTCTTTAAAAACTGGCATGTAGGCTTTAAAGTCATGCATTTTTTGAAAACTATTCCTTTTTACAGGGATCACAAAATGGCACTGCTGCAGATGGCAACTGTTGAAGAAGCAATTCAGGCCTTGATTGACCTTCACAATTACAACATGGGAGATAATCATCACCTGAGAGTCTCCTTCTCTAAATCAACAATTTGAACATGCTCGCAGGATAAAATGTGTTTACGCTCTTTAGAAGCGTTACCTATTGACTGTTTCCGGACACTGGGGACCACAGTTTGACATTTTAAATTTTATCAATCATTCCTTTAAGAATATGATGGATTATCAGAAAAGAAACATTACACAGCAGAGTCTACTAGTCTGCTTTGAAGACTTTCCCCACCCCATTTATATGTTAGGCAAGCCATTAACGTTTTTCCATTTCATCATAAGAAGGAAGTAAGTAAATTCCTCTTTTTATTATAATTTGATTAGATGACAAGATATGTGCCTTACTTGACAAAATAGTATCAACACTTTTACATCAGTACATTTACATGATCCATTACAGTTGACTATTTAGGCACATTGGTTCTGATGGTGTAAGAAGCAGAGATGTAAAAATAGGTATTTCTGTATGTATTTGTACAGTTTGTGGAGTTCTCTACCCCTCAAAGTGTAGTCCTTACTAGCTGTGACTTATTAATTTCTGCAGATTTCCTTCCTTTAGTTGAAAATTACATTTTATTTTATTAGTTAAGATTCAGAGTTTTTGTAAGACCTAAGGTGAACAAAGGACATCGTTCTGCTAAGATTGAGGCTGGGGTGATGTATTGATTAATCAGTAAATTGTCAGTACATTTCCTTTTTGATCATTATCGATATCCAGGCCAGTGCATCATTTATTTTTTCCCCTCACAAAAGGCAGTCACAAATCTGACATCTTAATTCAAATACATTTGGGTTAGTTAGATGTGGAGCAGATTAAATCAAACAGAGCATAAAGAAGCCCAAATAAGAGTACATTACCAACATAGACATTTGTTATCTCTGGCAGATAGGGTTTTAGTTTGCCTAAAAGTATTTGCCTAATGCAGGGATATTATTAAAGCAAATTATATGGAAGTTGGATGGATGGCTTACCAAGCCAGAAGAATAGTAATATGTTGCAGTTGTAATAAGTTTAGTAGTTTTGGTTGTATATAACAGAATTGCCATTCCAAGGCAGTCCTGATTAAAAAAAAAAAATAGTTGTGGCTCTTGAATGTGTTAAAGAAAAGTATATTCTTTTTGGGGTGATGTCTTTAAAATGGGGAAGAAACACTTGTTGCTTAAAAGTATTGTCTTATTGAATTTAAGTTGAGTATTGTTCCCTCTTGTATAATGGTGTCATTAATCAGCACATTAAAAGAGCAAGATATTACGTGACCTAGAAAACTGTCACTAGCCCCTGTATTGTGCTTTCCCATGTTATTTCATGTATATTGTTCCCATAAAATAGAATTTTGCCCCACACAGTCAGAAGTCATGAAATAAGCATGGAAGGCTTTAAAATTTAATTAAATACATTTCTGCTTCCATATCTTCCATATGACCAGTGGTTTGCACCAGGATCCCAAAAGATAAAGACTTGACAATGATTTAAGTATGACACTGATGTTCATATAATTGGATACTGGTATTTCACAGAATATGTACACCCTTTTTGTGTTGATTTCTTTTGATGGAATTTTCTAAACATTCTACAGTAGCATACTTTGAATTTATGCAGTATTTTGTCCTTAAGAAATAACATGACTTATTTCATCAATAGGCCTACAAAATAACATTGAATTTACTGTTTTACTCTCTTCTTTTTATCAAGTTACTTATTTTGTTTTAACTAAAATAAATTAATACAGTGCCAGTGGAGCAGATATTAATTGCATATGTGTGGGAAGAAAGCATACAACCTCCAGTTTTTTTTAACTGGAACCACTCTGTTACTTAATTTTTATTACTTTTGATTGGCTATTGCTTAATTTTTTGCGTGACAGGTGTAATGTAAAAGGTGAGATTAGTGAATTATCCATACAATGTGTGATTAATCTTTACCTGAAATCTCAATATTTTATAAACAGATTAAATTTGGACCAGTAGCCAGCAGTTGTACAGATAAGTCTGCCAGGTGAGCTCCCTAACCATGCACACATTCAAACAGAACTGATGCATTAGTTCATTTTACTCGAGGATCAGTTTGGAGAGACTTTGACAACCCTTTCTTTATCCTCAACACATCCTGAGTGCGCCCATAGCTGTGATTAACATTTTTTCTACTAATTCTTTGGAATCCTAACTTTAGAAACCCAACAGATGTTGTCGGAATACTGACAGTTTCACCTACAGTAGCTTGTGGGACATGGTACCAATCAGTTTCTAATCACAAGGGTATGTGGTTTTTCAGAAGCATTGGAACTGTTAATTAAGTTTCGTTCTCTAGTCCAGTTTGTATGTTTGGTTTCACTATAATCCCCCACTGGCTTTACTGACAATTTGCTAAAGTGAAAGAACAAATTTATCAATATCTCAATTTTATGGGAAACAATATATACAGATAAAAAGTCCTCGCCCCAGCCTTGGCTAAAAATGATCATTTTGCATTTGTTTCACTATTAACTTGCTTTATCCAGACAGCCAAAGATAAAGCTTTAATCTTATCTGAAACTCGGTAAAACCATCTAAAATGTCTGTTATACACTGTTGAGGAATTTAGTGTAAGTGTTATGACTAAATATACTTTGTAGTTGTTTTTTGACCTTACTTATGTGCATTTATATTTTACCATGTTTAGTTTATATTTGAGGATTTAAAATGACTGTGGATTTCTGAGCATGTACTGACTGGTCTAGTTAGTTCTGGGACAAACTGCTGTTGCATGCATTATAAAAAGCTAACAGAAGTGAGCTGTGCAGTCAGCCTACAGTAACAGTGACAGTTTTTGTTTGAAGAGGACAGCCTGGTGGGACCAAAGTTTATGTGCCTTTAGTCTTAATTTTCCTTGCATTGTAATATTCAGTTTTAATGAACCTATGAAATTTTTTGTATTTTAAAATCCAGACTTTATAACAAACATGCCTCAGAATCTACATATGAATCCTTCAAGGATATTTACTACATGAGCTCACCTGTGATCACCATCAGATGTTGAAAATCCTTTCCCCTCAATCCCCCCCCCCACCCCCCAATAGATGTTCTTAGTTAAAAAATAGATTCTGTGGTCTATGTTTAAAAAATCATGTATATTTTCTATATTAGTTGAGTTTTTACATCTTTAGAAATGTAAAATTCAGTATAGTTTGGGAGCGGCACAATTAAAAATTAATTTTCTAACAAGTCGGGAGGTTTGATGGTTGTGTTAATTTCACCCTGCGTGTACTCTGCTTACCTCTGTAGCATGCTCAATAAACACTTCTGTAGCTCTATATTCACCTCTTCTGTCTCTATTCTGCCTCTCTCTCTTCTCTTGTATTTCACCTCACTATGCTTCTGATGTCATGATCTTTGTCAGGGTGGGAAAATGCAGTTATTTGAAAGCTTTTACATTTCGGAATCCTAATCGGGAAAAGAAAGCCAAATAAGAAATGAACCAACAAAAACCCCACTGTCGAATCTTAAAAACCTGTTTCCCACCCTGTATTGTACTCTGCTGCGAAACAAATCTGCCCTTTCTGATTTTTAACTCTTTGTTCTGTCTCCGTAGATGTTTATACTAATCAATCTTTCAGGGTTTCATGCTTCTTTACTGCAAATTCATCTTTCACCTTCTATCTGCTATAGAGCCCTTTTCTACTAAATCTTTTCTCTTCACAAAATGCTCATACAGTGCATTTGTCTATAATGTATTTTGATTGGCAGTCACTCTTGATGCAGATTTATCCTCGCTTATTTGTTGAGATGCTTCTGCAACAGTGCAGCAAAACTGTCTGTAAGCACTGCTATCCAGATGTTCCCAGCATTTATTTTTATAAAATGTTGCAGATCCGGCAAAGAAAATTATAATTGGTTACTTCGCAATCTACTTTTCATATTATAGAAGTTTATCCCTCTAATTATTGGACGTTTTTTAAATGGATTTACATTTTGTATACAATTTAACAAGTATGAAGGTTTGCATCAGATTCGAGAAATCTTATTGCATAAAATGAAAAAAATAAATTGGCATTCAATGAAAAATATGATGTACCAGTGTTAATATCTTCCTTTGTTTTTCTTTTTAAAGTGATTTCATTAGGTGCCTTTTCTCTTCTACACATGCTCTTTGCTTAATTGAACAGTTAGAAGTATCATTTGGAATGTAATTACAGGATTTGCAAACAGGAAAAAATAGTAAAATGTATCTTTTATAAAAAGTGTCATACACTATAATATTAAGTACTAGGTACTTAGTAGTATAGTCTTTGTGACACTTTGCTGGTAATGGGTTGTGTCAGAGGCTCATTCATATATAGAAGGTGTATGTGTGGTAGTCCAAGCGTATATAAAGGTAATCTACACTATTTTAGAAGTTTTATGAATGTGTGTTGCACATAGATTGAGGTAGATGGCAAATCAGCCTGCATTGGAAGTTGGTCACCTATAACTGCCCATGAAGATGTGGAAGTTCATAACTGGGGGAATGCTGACCGTGCACGGCAAACTGTGGAACACAATGAAGAATAATAGCTGATGCTCAGTGCTTCAAGGTTATCTACTGTATGCTATGGGAATTTTTTTTGATCAGTCTGCTCAAAAAGGAATACACAAGGATGGCTTTTGGATTCTTGAATTCGCCGATTATTGAGGTATGGAGAAGGGAATCATCTGTCGGAGTTATGAGTACTCAAAGAATTCTTTGGTTTGCAGTGCAATCTTTGATTAAGCGTGGTGATGACAATATGTTTATATGCATACATTTCTCATGACTTGGACTAGAAGCATTGGTTAATGTGCAGAGAAATATGATGACTGTCCAAAACACTCGAAAATGTAATGGTACAGTATGTCACCCCACGGACAGCTCAGGCTACTGGCCAACTTTGGTAAGAACCACACTGGGGAAAAAAAGGCAAGTCATTCCTTATATCTGCTTGATTAGGTACCTTTAACCTGTGTGTTGTACAATGCTTTTGGTAAAATATTTAGGAAAGCAGATGGATTGCAAATTCAGACTGTAATTTAAACCTCGACAAGTTTCTACTAGCCAATAAGGCTGTTAATATTATAAATCAAAAAGCAGAAGATTTGCTTAAAGGAAATGGAGCAAAAAATTGCTAAAAATCAACACTAATCTGTACTTTTCCTGGCTAAAAGGCATGTAAAGTCAACACAAGCTCCCATTCCCAATGACTTAAAATATCATTGCTTGCTTTCAATGAATATTCTTTCAATATTATAAGTCTAAAGAATCTTTTTTGAATAACATTTCATTTAAATGTTCATCCATCCAGTCTTTAAGGTGAGTGGTGTGTCTCATAAAAACAAACAGTGTGAATTGCATAAAATGGATGGCGTGGTTGTACGGTTAAGATTCCTTCATATAAATTCATCACAATTATAAAAATAAAAATGATTTAGAAAGGGCCAGTGGCTCAACTGCTAAAAGCTTACTGAGAACACAGCCGGAGCCCTGTAATTAGGACATTGCTAACAGTGACTGTGATTAACCATTTGTGAATCAACAGTTGCCCAACTCTGACTTGGCTGGACATTGCAAGCTTGCTTTATTAAGAGTCACTGTACACTTCCAGTTAGCAAATTCATGTTTCAGTGGAAAGAGTGCTAGGGTCTAGGGTAATACTAGTGATAAGGCTCAGTTTAATTAGGAGTAATTTTACATTATCAGGGACAGGGGAGTTATAAGAAAAAACCTAAACTGTGTTATTGCTATTAAGTCTAATGTTTTAAATTTCTGTAGCCTCGTCTCCTTAGATCTCGGAGGTTGGGCTTGGAAGGTACTGGGATGGGAGGCATGCAAGGAAATCGAAGTTACTGCAGAAAGTTGTGCTTGTAGACCAGTAGGTGGCACTCTTCACCCTGGACCAAAGTTTTTCCAAAACCATGCCCTTGTTTTGTGACCAGGGGATATTGTGCTCTAGGTTGAGCTCCCCTTTTGATGAGATGTTAAATGCAAGGCCTTATTACTTGGTCATTAAAGTGTTAGCCCCTGTGTTCTAGCTAAATTCCACATTAGTCTTGTATAATCTGGTCTATTTAGTTCTCCCTTAATTCAATTAGTGAGGTACTTTCTCATTGTTCTACCTAATCTGTGTAGTGGTGTTATAGTGCATTACCCTGGTGGTCCTCTTCGATGAGTTATGTGCTTTGGTATCCTTTGGGATGAAAAACGCTACATAAATGCAAGAAATTATTTATTATAATTATTAAGGAGTACTGTCACGAAGCTGGCTTTTAAAATTGAAAGGTTTGGGTAATAAAACTGAAAAACATTATGAGAGCCTCTCATTAAAGTACAGATTTCAATTTGTTTCAGCTTGAGGAAGCCAAAAATTATATAAAATTTAATGAATTACATCTGTGGAGGGTAATCCAAGTAACTATGAATCCAGCAAATTAGAGAAGCCATTCTAAACACTGATAAAGCAAATTAGTGTTTTCTGAGATTTAGTTTAAGACAAAGTCTATCGAATTTAAATTGCTTAAACTGCAACTAAGGTGCATTTAACCCAGGAATAGATTTTTCCTAATAATCAGTTTTCCTCCTCAGTCCTAGGCAGCAAAACTATATCTCTAAAATAGGTTATTAGGTGCTTAACACAGTCTGCCTTTTTCAGCTGTGTACCACTAAATTAAATTGAACAAAAAATGTTTTCTTAATCATATTTTGTGCTGTGGGAGCTGCTGCTCTCATAACAGGTGCCAGCAGTGTCTCTCATTTGTAGCTAATACTGTGTCATTTCTG